GGAATCAGCTCGATAAATTTCTAGGGCTTGGATATTTCTTCAAAATTTGTTCGATGTAAAAATATCCAACCATTTGGGTTCTTCCAACTTCTTTCGAATTCGATTGATGCTGGTGACCTTTTCAAAACACATAAGAATTTTGACATCAGTAATCTGTCAAACACCACAGATTTTACCCAAGCTCAATCTCTTCATGCAGCATAAAGCAGATGGGTGTTCACTGACGGACTGATGATTCAGCTGCAAGTAGAAGATGAACTAGTTATCGATAATTTATCTTCGCTTTTTTGATCCCTATGGTAGTAGTTATTTGTTGCTATTGTTGTTTTGGCATTAGTACCATTAGTAGTAGTAGTAGTGGCAGTAGTAGTAGTAGTAGTAGTATAAGTCCATTCAGGTAACCTACAAAAATACCACACCTCGCCCATTTAACGTTGATTACACGTAATAAAAAAACAAGCCACGTCATCTTCAGTCCCCCCTGTGATACTACAGCTTTAAACCAATTTAGAATATGCAATGATCATTTGTTGTTTGACCCCACCGCATTTTGCAGATACATGTTTTCATTCAGGGCTGTCAGCTATGAATTGATTGACTTGATTTAAGGATATCAATTAACAATTCCAAAGACGGAGAAGAAACACAAGTGGACCACAATGAATCAATTGTGTGACAAAACGTTTAGGAAATCGATAAACACGAAAGTGTATTGTTCGCAGTATGCATGGTTCGCTCATTATCACCCCACCTGAGCGTTCGTGGAGTGTGCGATGCAAATTTATTACCAACACAAGCAAGTGAACCGAATACCCGATGTGGGATTTTGAAACACATTGTTCATTTTATTTAGGTAAGTGGGAGCATATCACTCAATACTGGATACGAGAATAGTGGAACAAATTAGCCGAGGAATACTGTGGATGGAAAGCATCAACATGCTGAGTCTGAAGTTCCGAAGATACATATGATGCTCAAATGGGGAATAAAATAATGATGATACCAGTAAAGAGTACCAAGACCAACAATAACCCTATTTTGATGACCTTTATATATTACCGTTGCAAAAGGTGTACGTCCTATTCATTATACACCTGAACATTAACAAAAGTCCACTAGCTCGTCCATATAAAACGATAATAAAATTGAATTTGTAATATAACTTAGAAGAGTCGAGCCAATGGTAGCTTTATCCACATGGATGTTTGAACTTCCAACGTCTGCAGCATATTTGTGAAATCAGGTTAGCAAAATCATACATAATGCAACTGAAACCATTGGATTTTGTGTTTGTCACTGACAAAATTCTATGAAAACTGTCCGCTTGACAATAAGTAGACGTGCTAGATATCGCAAATCAGAATTACGGTAAGAAGAGATGGGTGGAAAAAAGCTTAAAATCTTGAGCTTGTGAATGAAGTAGACACAGCATTTCATGATTTGCTGTCTAATGGGTGGCAAGTATTTGAGAGAATTTGGCAGTGCAATTTCCACATGCTTGTCGGTGTCTATGACAGTATCTGCGAGTTTACCCTAACGATGCCAATACATTTATAGATGTGTTTCAGAGATGTCACCAGTAAAAAAACTGTTTCTTCAACATACCGAGAGAGCAATACAATCAGCGGGGAAGCATGCAAGACGAAGATAATTAGTGTAAATGCCGTCAATTATTCACTGGGAAAAAAGATTGAAAGCTCCTTCGAAATTTAAAGGAGTCTAAGGAAATCCTTTTGGAAAACGATAAGCAAACACCTAGTCACAAGACATCCCATCGAAGTGATATTTTATGAGACTAAAGTACACTTAAATTGATATGTTCGAAATATAGCTTGGTGAAATGTGGTGACACAATCGTATTTGGTGACCTAAAATGAAACGTTCTTTAAAGTCTTGGCAGCCTATTCGTTTAGTAAGGATTTCACACTAGAAGTTCATCCCAATAACCAGGTGACGCGCGAAATCCGACATCAACAGAGATGGCGAGATAGCTTGAAGGCTTTGATTGTCAATGTATAATCAGATAGTATTGCAACTTTAGTAAATAGTTTGGGATTTAGATCTACAAAAACATAAACGGGACCAGCGAAGGGACCTGGTGTATCGAAAGGAGCCTTATTCGGCTAACAAAAACTTTCAGCGGTCAACGATTAAGGCTGCTTCGCCTTCAAGATAAACGGTCAGAATGATTTGTAACTTTTGAACAACAATTTCTCCCAATATTCCATCAATATGTCCTTGGATCATTTCAAGGTGTCCGGGAAGCATTTCAATTGGCTGACCATTATTTCAATATGTTTGGCGATTATTTCAAGTATCCCGCATCATTTCAAGATATCCTCGAATTGATTCAAGCTGTCGGTCAGACCTCTCTCGTGCTGATAAGCCTCCCAGGGATGGTTGGATGACTACCGTGCGACATTGATTTCTCATTTCTCATAGGTAGCGTTTCACGCAAAACAGACAATTCCATCTGCCTACGCAACATTGCTTTCACCTTCCACTGGACACCAACGCGTTGTGTAGAACAACTTTGTAGAACAACTCGACTGCGGAGACCATTCTGGATTTTCAAAGTGCATCAAGGAAAACAATTTAACAATCAAATAAAGAACAATCTCAGTGGTTGTATTCTTATGCGGTACTACTCATTTTGTTAGTAGTACTTGGCATAGTTGATGATTACTTTTAATGACTCAAAATCAATAATATCACTGGAGACAGTTTGCTGCGTTAAGAAAGTAACTATTGATTTCTACATTTACCACAATTCGCGGAGCCAGGAACTGCGTTGTGATATTTCTTTTTCAATGAAAATTATCTATGACGAACATCGCCCTCTCGAATTATGACAACTGGTACCGTCTCCTGATTCAGGGGCCTGAAGCTTTTGAGGATGATCTCGCGCATACATGCCTGTAGCTGTTCAAAGACATAGTGGAGCTGGCGGAAATACGGTCCGATCAGGGTAAGTTAATGGCCGTCCGAGCGCTTCTCAAGGGCTAGGTGGGGGCGATGTTTGATGCAGCGAGATGAGGTCCGGAGAAGGAGTGCGCCGCCGCGAATGACGCCCGGATTACGGGTTTTATACCCCAATCGACCGCCAGCAGGCGTTGTGCAGCTTCGAAATTTCGTGGGCCATATGTCGCACGCCGTGGCCCTGCGTGCTATGTTGAGACGAACGCTCCCAAAGTTGAATATTGTCGTTCATGGAGAGCTCGCCGGGACGCTTGCGCTAGACAACATGCACAATTATGGTGAGAAGTCTATCTTAAACATATGCATTAGGTTATTTTCAGCCATCAACAGGGCGTAAGCCATCGGTAGAAATAAAAGTTAGCTTTGAGTTATTTTATTACCTTAAACCAAAACACGAAGAATAACTAAAATAATGTTTTCAGACAAAGTCTCTGATCGACTTCCTGTTGCCTTCTTCAAGTTTAGCCGTCACCAACTTTGAATCTCAGGTTGAAGCTAAGCGCCAAACAGTTGTTTTACACTACCTTCCAAAAAGGAATATTCAGTCAATGGAAACTAGGTAAAACATACCGTTCAGACAGACCAGTCTTTTGCATCTCACGTGACTTTCTTGAGACAATGCATCGATTCGCTCAAACTACCGCGTGCTTCCTGTTCTTGCATTACACTGATTCACAGTTTCGGAGTCTGATGGGAGTCTATTTGCGTAGGGAAACTAAATACTGGTTATTTGGCGTTGTCTGAGAAAGAACCATGGCAGTGATGCAATTGGTAAGTTCAATAATGAACGTGCAGGAAGCAGACTACAAGCATCATGTCGAAAACTCCAATTCAAAAGTTTTAGGCAGTAATTCCCGAAAGGTTTGTGTATCAAGGTGATCTCGATAGACGGCGCTGGGACCATAGCCGTGGCAACGCACTGCGATTGTATGTTTCTAATTATATTTTAGTGTTATGTATGCCAAATTAATGATACCTCATCTGAAATCCTCAATAAACGATTCTACTCGACCATCGCTGCCTTCTAGGATTATAACAGTAAGAGTACATTTGCAGCATGATACATTGATTATTTCACTGCAGAACAATGTCAGCGTCGTGTAGAGTAACAGCCGATTCATGATCGGATAAGAATTATCAGAGCTAGATGCAAGCTCAAACTTCCCTTGTTCCATGGAATACTGTTGCATTTCAATGGGTTCTTGGTGAAAACATGCAGGTGTGACATATTTTTGATGTAGTAATTTATGAGGTGATAAGAGCTAGCCGCTTGGATTGAGACAAATATGCAAGTCGTGTTAGTTTTAGGTGGACAGTGTCAAACAACTCAACTAAACCATTGGACCAAAACTGTTTTATGGATAAATCAGATTTTTGCAACATTCATCGTTTGCAACTAGCCGGGGAAACCGTTTGAAAAAATGATTTCTCTTTGTTGCTTGTGTAACAATATTATGAACACAAAACGCAGTACCGATGTCAAATTGTTCTCTTTAAATACTGACGTCAGAGTATGCTATTTTTAGTCTCTGAAATTAAGTCGTCATCACACGACGTTCAAGACTCACACATTCAGCAGCTACTTGTGACATATCGTTGAAGTAATCTCACACTCACGTGAATCATGATATAGATAGTAGTCGATCGTCGACATTTTTCCAAAAAGGAACGCAAGACACAATATAAAAGCCAGTAGCTCCTGCGGCACTGAAAGTCGGAGAAAATGAAATCAAACATCATAAAATTGCTGATTATATCTTTCTGTTTCAGGGATATTGTCGGTAGGTAACGCAGTTTCTATGCAATAGCCTTTTGATCATCAGCTGAGAATTGTGAAGAGGTTACGGCCTCTGTCGATGCAAAGAGCTTCGTTGTAAAAAGCAATGTCACTGGCTGCCAGTACCGTGTCAAATCGGACGGAGGTAAAGCGGTGAAGGTCTACGTCAACGTAAGTGAACAAGAACTTTGTACAGTACAACTGGAACACCGGTGATTGGAACATTGATCTCAATATGGCAAACATGTTGATTCGCTTCCAGGAGACGAGTGGAACCAATTGTGTGAGGGTTACTATCGGAGGTCAAACAGATACTCTGTGTCCAAAAGGTTCCACGACTGCATTCTCATCCATGTCAGCGATTGATGTGAGTGCGGACACCGTCACGACTACTACTACTGCTGCTCCAACCACAGTTACACCTACAAGTACAGAAGCTCCACCTCAAATGCCATCAGGGGATGACGGGAAAAAGGGTAAAGGTACGGAAACCGACCAAGAAAAATCGAATGAAATGAAAAAAGGAGAAAAAGAAAACTCAGAGACAGAAGGAGCGGCATCCGTAGAAAAGTCACCGCGGGCAGCTGCTGTTGCTGGAGCTAGTCGCCTAATGAGGCCAGCCAGAGAAGCACCAACCAGCGCTGGTTCTGACGACGTAATTGTGTATTACATGTTGGGTGAGTGTTTAGTAGCAGCCAGATACTAGTCAATCAAATGTCTGAGTAATATATTTCCCATCGTTTAGAGAATCATCATGCCTGAAGCTGGCATTCATCAATTCGCCTTCGTTGTATTCCTTTTCAGATGGTGTTTCCAAGTTCAACCCTTCGTGGCTGATAATCCTAGGACTAATTGCACATCAGCTCAACGGCCAGTTATGGTGAGTTGCAAATATTAACAAATTCTCAGTTTATTTATTGTTTTTGTCGTACATGAATTACTTGTACGTATAACACAAACACGGTGGATGTGGTTAGCTGAAGGATCTTATTTCTGTTGTTTCGTTCCAGAGCCAGAGAAAAAAACACATTGGGCTCAAACTCTGAACCAACAATTTGAAAATTGTTCAGCCTTTACGTGAGCCAGCGAAATACAATACTCATACAATATAGATTTTTGTTGTGAGTTATTATTTCACAGAAATATGTGTGGACCTTGCGAATCAGCTTAAGTCCGAGCGTAAGCAAGCTAAAATACTTCACGATTGGGGCTTTTCAAAAATAGCGTTCGTTATCCACGGAGTATTTGGAAACACGCCATTGGATTCTGAAGAAGAGCACACCGGATCAAATCATCCCGGGATTGCCGCGAGCCAACTAAACCGTCATGTTGAATCTGAATTAAAAGCCATCGATGATACTGATCAAAATTAAGTAAAATGTCTAATAGTTTTATGATTCAAATAGTTGGTGTTCCACAGGCACGTTCCTTATATCCACTAGGCATATGTAAGGGAANCAGTCAAAATGTTTACAACATTTGTGTTTTGGAATTCAAGGGATATATTGGTCATCGCATTGGGCTGACAGTGTTACGAGCTATTGACTGGAACCTCTGCCTGAACAGAATGTACTTCTATGCTATTGAGACCATGGACTAAGTCCGGCTATGAAAGGTGTTTTTCGAAAATTTAAGCCGGCGCTTGACGACTGATTTATCGATCCATCTTGATCTTGTTCACTTCTTTACCCGATCAATTAAGGTCAATCAGCATCGGGTTCGTTTATTCACGTCCAACGCACACTGGTTCAACGGCTGGTGCTGGAGTAGGACGAACATTATAATCCAAGCCCACCAAAAATGCCAAATAAGTTCGTTTATTTACTGAAAAGTACCTATGTTTGTTGAGAGTAACAAGTTTGGATTAGCCCATTCGACTGCTCAGAGGTTTGTTTTATGCGCCTTAGGTAATCCATAGAGCGGTGGCGGCAAGGATCAAGTCACGATCAGATTTCCGAAAATCGCTTGTGATATGTGACCCTTTATTTTTATTTCCTTCAAGATGACGGTAAGATCGATTCTGTTTGCTCTGCCATGTCTTTCTCACGTGGTCTAGCGGAAATGTTTTTGGATTCGCTGAGGATATTATCTAGTTTAGAGTGGTTATCAGTTTTATTGAGTACCATCCAGCAGTCCCCTATATCAGGGACATTATGATATGCCTGTTTGAACTAGGATGTTTAGGGCTTCGATATGTTTCTCTGTGCAATTGTAATGTGCGATCCCTTGGATATACGACTGGCGATTATCACAACGTGTTGCTGAGTGCTGTCCTGTAAACCTCTACAGTTCGGTTCTCGGTCATTTAGTCGATAGCGGGCTTTTTGTGAACTAATTGGATCCATTTCCAGTTATTCACTTTATGCCACGGAGATATTCTCAGGGGATATGAAGACGGCTTTTACCCCGGACGGGGTGATTGCAATTAGCATTTTCAATCCAGAGTTACGTAAGCAAAACGTTGATTCAGACACTATAGTTTACCTGACCGCGACAGCGGAATAATTGTGCATAAAACAGAGCATCACTCTCCTCAGCCACCCCTTTTCCTCATCCGCTATCATAAACCATAATCTTGAGAACCAATTATTTTGTTTTATCTTCAATGCCATGTATCTTACGAAACATCGCCCCACTATTTAGTCTTACCTCATAACATTCCTTTTTTCATCACGCTCACCGTGATTAACTGCGCTTTGGTCGACCAATCAGACATCTGTACAATGTTCACAGTAAATATGTTAAGCCTGACGCAATACATCAAATGAAAATTTGGTTTAGGGTTCTCCTCCAGTTCACATCACTACAAACGAGTCAGCTACCAGTGACGACATTGCACATACATACGCATATTCAGTAAGCTCAATTGACAATGGGATTGAACTCTGTATAACGTACATTCAAACCGGGCTCCAAATCGCATTATGTTGAAGTCTGGTTAAACAAAATTCATTTGTGTGAACTTTGATTGCCGTTCATGGAAGCAAGCAAATGCATACCACAAATATAATTCCCACTTTTATACACCCATGTATCACACAAGTGTCGATGTTTTGTTTGTTAGCTCTGAAGTTCACACTCAATCCGATTGTATGTACTGGATTCCACCAGATTGTTCGTAATATCTGCCTCCTGATTGGCTGTCTAGAAGCTGTATGGTGGTGCGCACCTAGTACTGTCCGATATTATTGCAATATAATCACTACAGCCATTTCTCAGGATCACCTCGTCAGCATGATTTGTAGTTCGGAATCAGTGGGGTTGCTCACTTATTCATGGGGTACTGATGTATCTTCGGTAGTATTCACAATGTATATAACCTACATATCATCGATGAGTAGTTGACCTTTGAGTAAATCTTGCGAGGTTAATTAGTCAAGAAACTAAAGGAATAATTGAAAGAGCTTAACGTTTAGCAACACCGCTTTGGTTAAATGCATACTGCTCCCGTGGGGACAGAACTGTGTATATCCTCTCTGGAGTCAGCTCTGCGAGAGTATCCAAGTCATCACTAGAGCATTGACGGCCTATCTTCATAGTTTTTGAACTATATAACAGCACCGACCGACGTGCGGCTACAAAGACGGTACTGTAGTGCGCACGAAACAGTGCGTAACCCTTCATGCTTACAGAGTGGATTACGGCTTGGCTTTCACACGTGAATGGTATGAATTCACCATCCCACCGCTTTGACGTCCGTCACAGAGCTCGACAAGATGTGCGACTGTGCTCTGCCTAATTTCACCAGAGAAATAGTGTGGGAAGACCGGTGGTTAACCCGGGGGTGATGTGATCAATGGAAAAATGAGGTGCGCTGAACGGAAGCGAATCCGACCACAGCGTTTCTTTCTCAAGTCCAAGTGATATTTTTTCAATTTAGAATGGCGGTTTCTCAGACGAAAATTATTGTTTCTGAAATCTAACCCTATACACTTCATCAACAGCCTAATTTGGATAACGCACCCTCAAGCGTCTGAAACTGAATATCGATAATTGAATCCTTCGCATTCACGCATAAATTCTATTTACGATACAGCCACCAGGTGAGATACAATTGCAGAAACAGCAAAACGTCTTCTAGTTTTCGAACACCCCCTGTTCACGTGTCGTTTTTAGATGAACCCACTCAGTTGTCTTGCAGTAGTATGCAGTTCGATTATGCAAGACGTTTAACTACCGTTTGTCTATTGGCAGTCGAAATACCCCGAAAAGGCAACATCTTGCCTTAATCTTCACTGAACAGCACACATGTGATCATATAACTTTGATTAGACAGGATATTTAATGTGCAGTTCCCGATTCAGTCATGATTGCAGGAGGACAATGTTGATTGAGAAATAAAACAATAAGAAGATGGATGGTGAATGTGAGTGAGAACAACCCGTACAAAATTGGGCCAATGCTGTTACCTCGAAGTGAGCTTTGGTGGCTAATATAAAGGTATTATAATAATAAGGAAACGCTCTCTGGTACACACATCAATGCGAGGCGAATCCAGGTTCTACATCGGTTGATCGAAAGTATAGAACAGGAAAGTCTATGCACTCTTGGGATCGCAGTCCCGTTTGGGCGCTAATTATTTGCTATTGACATGTCTGTGACAACCGACAAAGAACACTGGACAGCTATCTCGTTTTGTTATGGGCACGTCAGCAATGCGTAGTGTCTTTGAAAAATCGAACGGGCTAATCCAAGCTTATCTCTGTGAAGGAAAATACTTGGACTAATGTTAATTTCCGCAGACTACTCCACTTCTCAGCCTGTTGCCATCCCCCAATTCTCGCGATCCTTACATCGGCTTTTGATGTGTTGTCGTTCGAAGAAATTGGGCGTAATGTCATATTCGACATTTGGAGGACTGGATGTGCGAGCATCCGGAAAGACTGTTATAATGGTGCAATGAGACAATTGGTCTAACCCGTTCATGTTTTATTTGTGTACTTAGATTTATGTGTATTGCGAATCGTTGGATATCTGTGGCGATCCATGCCTACGTGATGACGCCTACCCCGGAGCGACGCGTTAAAATTTCTAGACTCCTATAATCAGTCGACTTTGAAAAATGACGTCGAGGACGGGGTTACGCGTGACGGCTTCTGACTGTGCGCCATTGGTGGATCGTGCCATCCATTCCGAAACAATGCAGACAGAAGCAGACTTATGCACGCAGTACTGCAATATGATTTGTGGAAACCTAGATAACCAATGATTCTCTTTTGAACATTTTATTTAATCGCCCTCATTTCTTCCAACAAACGAACTGCGAACTACCATTTTTGTGGCCATTTCCTCGCGTTTCATTTGCGTGGGAAAGAGTGTGTTACTGGTCGAGTGCTCCCGTGATACAACCCGTGATAGCTGGTTCCTGATTCGTGTCCCTTGATTCGTATTGTGTGGTTTGCATTCCGAATTCCGTACGTATTGCGTTTACTAGTTCTACAGTCATTAGCATGTCCTTTACAGTTAGCGCGCTCTGAGAACACGACTTATTCAAGCCCACCGATGTCGTCAGAAACATGTGAATTACAGCTTATTCGTGACGCTCAACACACGCACTGTCATCTTCTGAAATGTGGGAGGAGTGTGTGTCCTGAGACTGGAATGCATGTATTTATTGTCATGCTGTGTGATGTTTTTGTAATGATGTTCGCCAGTTTTTGGCGAATGTTTAATTCACATAACAGTCAAATATCTGAAAAATCCAACGTTTGCTACAAGCGTTTCAAGAAGATCACGCACAGGCGATGTCATCCATCTTGAAGAAGAGAAAAGCGTCAGTTCAACGACGTGACATACCAAGACCAAAACTGGCAAGAGTCAGTTATAAAATGATTTCTACTTTTCTGTCTGGTTCCCTTGATGACTCATTAGCTGCACCATGTCGGATTGAGTGATTGCCGATGAGTAGTAATGAATGTGAANAATACACATATTCCAAAATACAATTACTTCAGAAAAATGATGTTGTCGATAGTGTAGCAGTAAAACGTGTAACGTGTTTTAGTGTATAGTAACGTAGTTGACACCCTAGACAGATTGCTCACTATTTCCGGAGTAAACTGCTTTGTGTATTTCGTTTATCATGACCAGTTAACCACTGGAAGATCAACTGCATAAAAATTCAATTATTTATCCAGTTATTCTTTTGTTGTGCCTAGCTGATTAGGATGCCGCTCAGANGCTCACGTTCAGGTCCTAATCAGGGGTGATTCAAGTCACCTTCCCTCGTCCGTTTTTCGTCTTGCAAATGACTACCTCCAATTGAACGTAGATATTTCTGTTACCTAACCTAAAAGATCCATTCCACCGACACCCCATTGTATACAAAAAAGAGATGATATAAATGGAGGGTGTAAAACGGACTTGCTCACTG